ATAACTTTCAATTGATCATCTTACATGTTAAACCTATACTGTATTTATCTTCTATGTTAGCAGTACAAAAATAACAATTAAAAAAAAAAGTAATAAAAGAAGAAACGGGACAATTCATATTCACCTTTTGTCTGTCCTTCTTAATATAAAATTATCGTTCACACTCTTCCCTCTCGACGCCACTTGAGAATTCCTTAACCAAACACCCAAAAGGCACCTTCTGGTCTGACTGGTCTCGTGTTGAAGGGGATTACCAGTCTCCGGCCACTCACTCTAGGAGGAAACAAACGGGCCATAAATATCAAAGTCTTCGTATATAAGTCACATCAAAACTTTAGCCTTCACTTGCCATAAAAGTTAAGACCTGGCCCCAAGAGATTGTAGCCGGCAGGACCACGGTTTATGGTTCTCCGGCCACGCTCCTTCTCCATGGGTCGATTTTGTGTATAGACTGTATATATATATATGTATTAAAAAAAAAAAACATGGAAAAATATAAATAGAAATGAATGTAGTACCAGCACAAACATGAAGGGAATACGAGAGAACAAAATAGAAATATAGGAATAACACGAAAAAGAATACATATATACAGTAGGAAGAGAGATAAAACAAAAGAAATAAAAGGATGAAGTTAATTGATAGGAGAAGAGCAAGAGAATGTAAAAAGAATGACAGTAAGAAGGACAAAAAAAACCAGTAGATTTATGAATATAGGAATAGTTAAAATTTCAGAAATAAAATGAAAAGAACTGATGTCAAAAGTTGAAAAAGAAGGAAGAGATAAAACTCAACGTATTGAAATAGAAAGTCAACAGAAGATTAGAAAATAAAAAGAGGATTAACAATAGACGGAAAAGGCAATAAAAAAGGGGAATACGAAAGTAAGAGAAAACTTTCAAATTATACAGAAAACGAGAGAAAGTAAAAGTAACCGTAGACCTATGAACGAAATTAAGAGAAAGGTTAAAAAGAAAGAAAGCTGACGAAAACTATAAGAAAAAGAGAGAGGGGGGGGGGAAATCGAAAGTTGAAAAAAGGAAGGAGTAAAGTTTTAGTGGAGAGAGGGAAAGAGAGAGGGGTGGAAGGAGGGAGGGAGGGACGATGGACAAAAGGTTGGAGGTAAGATGTGAGCGAGGGAGAGACGCCTGGCCGGCCACCCTTTCTTCTACACTCCTCACAAAATGCTTAATGACCCTCCTAAACCTGGTGATAGCTGGACGAGTCTCTCTATTCACCTGGAACGGCAAGGATAGTGTCAGAGGTAGAGAGACAGAAGAAGAGAGAGAGAGAGAGACGGAAGAAGAGGGAGAGAGACGGAAGAAGAGAGACATACGGAAAGAGAGACCAGTAGAAATAGGGAAAATGGTAATACACACACACACAAAGATATTTTCCTTTACGCTACAGTCCCCTATAAATAAGCTACTTCAGAATACAAAGCATCTAACAAAACTGCTGATCTAGACTATATGTGTGAGTAGGAGCACTGCTCAGGCGACGTCAGGGAGAGGGTACTCGCAAAAGTCTAGCAGCACCTCTTGCCGCACTCCACCTCACTGACCATCAACGACATCAAATTACTGTTTTATCTTTACTTCTCTCTCACGCTGGAGGGGTTGAGAAGCGGGATCAAGAGGTACAGACACCTCTCACCACCACCACCTGTGTCTTCTAGCATTCTCTCCCACTTTGGTGCTGGATGAATCAAATTATACGTACAGAAACCTCAAGGAGAGATGGAAGGGCGAAGGGGTGGATAGGTGAGAGGGAAAGACAAGTCCTGCATAATTTAGAGTTGGTATACATTAATAAACTAGCAAATATTTCTAACTCGTAAACCAAGAAATCCCAAATGGCGAGGGTCTATTCTACTCCACTGACAGCTTCAACGCGACGCTTTGTATCAAGTTATTGTATAAACACTGGGTCGTCAGCTGAGTAGTTTACATCAAATCTCACTCAAATTCAGAAATAATTTGTTCATGGCTGTTATCTGTTGACAAATTCATTTATAAAAAAGAAAGAAATGTAGAGGAAGAAGAAGAAACAAGAGATGGATGAAGCAGAAGAAAAAGTAAAAACAAAGAAAAAGGGGGGCATTATAAGCAGAAAATTTAAAGACAAACAAGAAAAATAAGACAAAAAGAAGGAAAGATGAAGAAAAATTCCCAGTGAGGACGAGTGACGAAGGCTGTCGGTGTCCCCAGATTTCCTCTCCGGCATTTCCGTGTTTACAAACCTTTTGAATAGAGGATCAGTAGGGAGAAGCTCAAGACCCTGAATAGCAAAAGGGAATGTATGGGTAACTTTTGCCGGAGCCTTAACACAGATGCCTTTGTTACTTAGCTTTTGTGACCAAGATATATAGAGGTATAAATATAGGCCTTGATATGTGTATTCTAGAGTATGTAAAGGATGTTGGGAGTGAGGGCTCGTAAAGGAGACATATCGTGCAGTTTATTTTATTTATAACACATACACATTGTTTATTAACCTTTTAGATGACCAAAATTAGGAAAATTTTGTTGAATATTTTTGTATAAATGATTAGGTGAAAAATATGACTCACTGATGGAAAGTAAGGAAAAAATTGCTTGATTTTTTTATGAACAGCATTAGAATTTTGTTATTATTGCAATGTTTGAACTAAAAAAATAACATTGTCGTCCACGCCATGGAAAACACACACACACAAACACACACACACACACACTACTACTACTACTACTACTACTACTTTGCTGTCACTCGGAATCGAGTATGACGATCATCCAGCTAAGATACAATGATATGAGTTATTAGGGATGTCACCTAAGTTGGTGAGTTTTGAGGTGACTAAAGAGACCGATACGGGACCCGCAGGGTCGTCCACATGTGGAGGGTTGCATCTAGTGGCAGCGTCTTTCCGGCGTTTGCGCTTGTCTGCCTCGGTTTGCAGTCGGGCTAACTCGAAAGTGTTGACACCACCTCGTGTGGTGCTCCTCCAATCGTTACTATGTGGAGTAATCGTCTCCCAGGTAAGGGGATCGATTTGGCACTTATTCAGGTTTGTCTTAGGACTATCCTTATACCTTTCCCGTTGCCCGCCGGCGTTACATTTACCATTCGTTGAGTGACTGTAGAGAAGCTGCTTTAGCAGTCTACTGTCGTCCATGTGGGTAACATGACCAGTCCAACGTAGTTGTTTATGGATAATGGCAGCCTCGATGCTCCTACAGTTGGTGTCCGCGAACTCGGAGGAAGGAACGTAAACTACGGTTTGTTTCTGGTACATTTCACAGGATGATGGAAATTCCCTTATAATTCTCGTTCAGTTGTGACGTAAGAAAAGACACAAAGAGAACAAGACAAATGGCTGCAGTTATTATCTTGAGAGAAACATCCGACGAGCGACCCCTTCCACCGTGTTCCTCCGCTCAGCGTTTTGTCTGCCTCACTCACCTTAGCTGCACCCATAGTTCAGGTTAAGACATATTAGGATAAGTTAGGATTGGTTTAGTTAGAACAGACTAGGATAAATCAGGGTTGGTTAAGTTAGGACAAACTAGATTAGGTTAGCTTAAGTAAGAGTCCACATGCAGAGATTAGTAAGACCCATCTCATTAGGGTTAGGCGTCTTGCCTTCCTGACCCTCTTGTGTACACGGGCTGCACATATTTGACATATAAACTCCTAAACATTTTCCTCAAGAGAGAATGTGAGGCGGAGAGGGCAGGGAAATACTGACAGTCTTAGCATTCCTTCTAATATTAATTAAGGCGCACTGGACTATATTTTTTTTATTGGGAGCGACGAACACGACAGGGCTAATAAATCCTTTTGAAGGAATTTTAGCCTAAATTTTCTTTATTATTATTATTATTATTACTGCTGCTGCTGCTTAAAATAAGTCGACTGAAATTGAGATATGGCGGTAACACAAAACATATATATATAAATTGATACGCTGTAGTAAAGGCAGATGATTGTAATCTAATCAAAGTATTTTTTTTTTCATTAAAGGATAATTGACTTATTGAGAACCTATGTTGTTGTTCTTTCGACTGTTGTGTAAGATACTAAACTATTGATTGCCTTATTTCTTGCTAAGTTAAGAAATAGGGCAGACATGCGGTAGATTGCTTGCGGGAATAGTTACGTACAGGAAATAATTATAATAATGCAAAGGTAACTATTACAATTATGTATAGATAAGTACTATAATTATGCAGAGGTCTCAGTATAGTTACTTTAATGTAATTATTTTGTCTACTTGTTCCCGTTCCAGAACTCGAAGATCGTCGCTACAGTATCCTTGTGAGAGTGCGTCTGTGTGTGTGTGTGTGTGATCGACAAGACATGCATATACAGTACATAACACTCACCTGTCAGAATCACTATCATTAACCTGGTGGTGTCTCCTGGCCCCGAAGATAAGCCATATCATGTAACTCATCATGCAGTGGCTTTATCCTGTATGATAGTACTAGGGTTAACACCGTGTTGAGTGACACTTAAGATGCTCCATCACCTTACTAACTATCTTACACTCCAGAACTTTTACGTAAAGCTAATGTTTCATATTTCTGTAGTGTTTGGGCCTTAGGATGATGAACAGGCGCATCAAAACGATGATTACCAACAACAGGATTTCGAGGACATGAGAATTTTACTATAACACAAAATTTCTTATTATCAGTGATAGTGGATAGGTAATTAATGCGTGCGTGCGACTACCCTCTTGAGGTGAGATTATCAAGTGCATATGTGTACATAGTAATCACAACTATGGTGTTTAGTGTTTACATTCCCTGTTGGGTCTCAAAGGAGTGTTTTGTGTCGTGCCCATACCAATTGGCAGCCTATCAACCTGTCTTGATATTAACTAAATACTTATTTTCTTTCCTCTTTCCTATCTCTATCTCTCTCTCTCTCTCTCTCTCTCTCTCTCTCTCTCTCTCTCTCTCTCTTATCATCGTACGGGAGATACACTAACTCATGTCGTCGAGCATTACCTAGCGGTGCCAGTCTTGGTAAATTAGTGTTGCGGGGCACATCTATTACACCTGCCTAGAGGTCAACCCTTGATACCTGTCACTGAATACGTCACCACCAACTGCGACACTCGTATGAAGATTTCTATCCGTGTCAAGTAATTTTATTTTATACGTGTTCAATCGTTAATTTACTCGCCGCTCTTGTAAACAGCTCGGAAGTAGCAAGGACAGTTCGCCACAAAACAGTACAGCTGATTAGGTAAATATGGAGGATTTTATATCATCCTCTTCGAGCGAGTGTATCTAGAAATAAGAGCATAGCTACAATCATGATATATTATGGGGTTTACTTTGCCAAAATGTCGCTCTGAAGACGTGTGAATTATGAGGTTGAAACATCTTACTGTAAGTGCATTAAATATTGAGATACACACCACTACTCCTACTCACTTTGCTGCCACTCGGAATAAAGTATGACGATCATCCAGCTATGATACAATGATATCAGTCATAAAGGATGTCACCGACATTGATGAGTTCTGAGGTGACTAAAGAGGCCGATAAGGGACCCGCAGGATCGTCCACATTCGTTGCACATATGGAGGACTACATCTAGTGCGGGAGGGGCGGTGGCAGCGTCTTTCCGGCGTTGGCGCTTGTCTGCCTCGGTTTGCAGTCGGGCTAACTCGAAAGTATTGACACCTTTTTGTGTGGTGCTCCTCCAAGCGTTACGATGTGGAGCAATCGTCTCCCAGGTGAGGGGTCAATTTGGCCTTTTTTTAGGTTTGTCTTAAGACTATCCTGATACCTTTTCAGTTGCCCGCCGGCTTTACAGTTACTATTCGTTAGATGATTGTAAAGTAGCTGCTTTGGCAGTCTACTTTCGTCCATGCGGGTAACATGGCTAGTCCAGCGTACTTGTTCATGGATAACAGTAGCCTCGATGCTCCTACAGTTGGTGTCAGCGAGAATACGGGCATTTGTTCTCTTTTCTTCCCAGCGAACTCGGAGGATGGAAGGTAGACTACGTTGGTGAAAGTTTTCAAGTGCCTGGAGGTAACTCCTGTATGTGACCCATGTCTCGCTGCCATATAACAGGGTGGGGAGGACCACTGCTCGATATACATGCAACTTTGCAGAGAATTTCAGTACCCTACAGCTGAAGACATGGGTACGGAGTCTTTCAGAGGCTTGAGATGCACATCTGATCCAATGTTGACCTTTCATCGATGTCCGCAGTGGTGGACAGGTGGGAGCCGAGATACCGAAAGTGGGAAACATTAGAGAGGATAGTACTGTTAAGCTGGATGGATGGTGGTGGTGTGGCTGAACCAGGGGCAGGCTGAAAGAGAATCTGAATCTTATGTACATTCACCTCAAGAACAAACTGCGCACACGCAACTGCGTAGGTGTTCAGGATCTCCTATAGGTCGCTTTCAGTGTGAACGACAAGGGTGAGGTCGTCTGCATACTGTAGTTCAGTAATGGAAGCTGCCGACACCTTTGTTCTTGTCTGGAATCGTCTTATGTTGAAAAGACCCTTCATCCGGTACTCGATGACCACCCCGCCGGCTAAATTGGCACTGGCACGAGTAAGGAAGGCAGCCAAGGAAATGGAAAAGAGAGTTGGTGCTCTTACACATCTTTGTTTTGCCCCCTTTTGGATGAGGAAAAACTCAGACTGGGTGCTCTTGTGCAGGACACTGCCGTTCATGCCAGCGTGGAATTGCCTCACAATGGCAATGAATTTTGGTGGGCAGCCAAAACGGCTGAGTATCCGCCAGATAGATTCCCTGTTGATCATGTCGAAGACCTTGGTCAGGTCGATGAAGGCCATGTACAGGCCACCACGCTGTTCTCTATACTTTTCCTGTATCTGGCGGGCAGCAAAGATCATGTCAGTGGTGCCACGTGATGATCTAAAGCCACATTGAGATTCTGGGAGGAAGATTTCCGCTACGGACAGCAGCGAGATTCCGCGGTAGTTGTCACAGTCTGACAAAACAACTAAATAAACAAGAATTTTAACATGTAAGGCCATAAACATAAACACTGACTCCTCTCTCCAAACAAAACAACGTAACACACAAGAATTTTAACTCCATTGCATTAAGTTAAAATCATTAATAAAATATATCATCTTTACCCCAGTTTTGTAAGCCAGGCGTGAGAGACCCTGCGGTGTGACCCTCTACTGAGCACTTACCTACAACCTTCGGCAGCCTCTTTCTGACAATGGTAATATTCTGACCTCTGCTGTTTCAGGAATGTTCATTTCTACTACAATACAATAATACTGATACTCGATTTTTAGCGTTTTATTGTACGTCATTCTTCTGTAAGTCACCTCAAAACTCACTAACCTAGGTGACATCCCTAATAACTCATATCATTGTATCAGAGGTGGATGATCGTCATACTCGATTCCGAGTGACAGCAAAGTAGTAGTAGTGTGTGTGTGAGGGATATGGAGAGTGGCCGTTTCCAGTGGTCGATTTTCAAGATGTCGCAAAAGTTATTTATATATCTAGCTGCAGTGACCAGCCAAAACTTATTTTATTAATCTAGGTGCAGTAGTTAGTTGACCAGCTTTAGTTTTAGTAGGAATTCAACTCACTATTGTACCCAGGGTATCAAAATTACTGTTATCAAATATGAAAGGAATTATTCTCGGAGAATTGACTTACACTATAATATACGCTTACAAAGGTATATAATGTAAGGTAAAGTCTCAGCTGGTAAGTTGGGCAGATCTTAAATCCTGCCATCTTTGTTTTATCATCCGGACCAGAATGATGAAAACCCTCTGGAGTGTACCTTGTGTTACGAGGAGTATAATGAGACTGGACGACGACCACGATGCCTACCATGCGGCCACACCTTCTGCTCCTCCTGCGTGGCCAGCAGTATCTTCAGAAGCAAGGTCACCTGTCCTAATTGCCGTAAGGAACACTTCGCCGTCACTGAGATGCAATTTCCTGTTAGCTACGGCATGGAAGCTCTCATTAGAAAACTGAGAGAGTCGTCTCATGACTCACCAGACTCAGACCCTCGACACAGTGACCCAGAATACGTCAACAAGAGGTTAGTCAATCTCAAGCGGGAACAAGAGAATAGCCTGAGTGGTCTCATCGCGGAGTGCGTGGACGGCTGCTCACAACTGGACAAATACTTGGTACACCTCGTCGACTGGAAAACTGAGCACATTGAACTTATTGCTAAATTGAGGAACTTAATGGAGAAAAGCGAGGAGGAGATTAAGCTCCTGGAAAAGGAGTATCATCGAGCCATGGAAGCCAGAGAGGACTTGGAGAAGCTCCAGCAGAAGCTCAAGACCCAAGAGATGTGTGTGGTTCTGGCTGACACCAGGACGGAGGTGATAACGGCGCTGGAAACGTGCAGCAAGTGGAAAGCTGCAGCGGGTCCCAGGCCCAGCAGACGCCTCGACCTCTTCCCTGACCTCAACACTGTCTTCACCTCTGCCAAGGTGAGTAAGGTGACCTACTTAACTTATACCATTGTATCATAGCCGTGAAAACACTGCTCTGTTTGTGTGTGTGTGTGTGTGTGTGTGTGTGTGTGTGTGGCACGTCCGTGTAATTTATATATAATTATGCTTTCATATAAAAAATATTCCTACTCCCTATGGACTGCCATATACGTGTTGTAACTTCCCATTAGTTCCCCGTACACCCATAACCTCACTATTTACTTCTGGTTAAGGTGCGAACAAGTACGAGGGCAGGTGTGCAGGTGATGGTGAAGGAGGCCTCATCTGGCCCGGTGCCTCTGCTAGTGAGAAACACCTCCGCCACCATACAGGACAAGATCGACCACATCACCGCCAACATCAGGGACAATAAGGACGACGACGTGCTCACAGTAACTTCCTATTCTCTTGTTGTGGAGCTGAATGAAAGTGTTTCTTCTTTAGAGCGCATTTAACTCTCTTGTACTTACCAGACAATTGGATTATATGGCTCGGTCGCTTTTCTTGATAATTTGTTGGGTTCCTTCCTTGTATGAGGATGATAACATAAGCTATAATTCTCAAGGTGTTAAACCTACATCTTCAAAGAGATAATCACCTCATTAACCTACATAGTTTCACCCAAAATTCATAAAAACGAAAGCATTGCTGAAGTGAAGCAGATACACTCGGCCCTGCCAGACCTTTTTATAAGATTTACAGGATAACTTATGTATATGTGTCGCGGCCCTCAGAGTGACCAACACACCTCTTATTAGACAGAAAGTCTGCGTATTATGAACACTCGAGTGAAGGACTTGCTGAAGGGCGGACGGGTGTTCACGGTGCAATTGGTAGAGGGACGCCAGCGTTACGGTCAGCTGGGTCTGGAGCGTGACAACATCATGGTGGGGGCGTTACAAGACTCCGCTCCGCCGCCCCCTAACGCCCACACCTTAGTGGTGAGTCACCTTTCCCATCCCCACATTTCAAACTTTAGCCATTGTCCTACAGTCTATGGCGGGCACAGTCGCTGCACGTTGTCACTGTTTCCCATGCTTTCTCTCCCCAAACTTTAATACATCAGATTGTTTAGAGTCAAAGCATGTCATTCCGTATCTTATGTCTTTATAAATGCTTCAGAATGATATAAAACCCAGTGTAACATAACATACCCTCGGTCCTCCCATACGGTTTACCTCTTACAGTACTCGGACGTGTGTGAATGGGTTGACTCGTCTTCCACGATGGCCTATCTAGAGCTGAGTTGGGGAGGCACTATCAGAGGGCGGGTCCTCATCCGGGTGGATTCAGACACCAGGTTAGGTCAACAGTTCGTGCTCCTCTGTACTGGCGAGCTGGGTCCCACCTACAAGAGTACTCGATTTATAGAAGTGATCAACGAGTGTGTATACGGCGGTGACTACGAGTATAACGACGGGACAGGAGGAGCTGCGCTACAGACAACGGTGACTAAGAGTGAAGAGTACCAAAGACCTGGATCTGGAGCTGTGGTGGGCAGGTGGAAGGACGACGCTCGTAGGGCTCAATTTGGCATCACCATCAGGGAGTGGAGTGCCAACATGTACGAGGTGGTCATTGGTCGGGTTGAAAGTGGTCTGGCACTGGTGGCAGCAGCGGTCAGGTTCCATACCCTACAAGAGGTGGTTATTGAGGACTGCGGCATTGTTTTGGAACTGTGAAGGTGCTATTGTAGTGCGTGCGTGCGTGTGTGTGTTGTGTGAGTGCCTACACTGTATACTGGTGAAGGAATATGTATGTCTGTATGTATTATCACAATATTTTGTAAATACACTATAATTTATATATCCGAGAGTTAAAAGTATAAAACTTCATCCCAGTTACACCTGAAGACTTGTATACAGGAAGTTTCTGATTCATGCAAGAGTTGTTAGTTTAATTTATGTCTTGTACATTATATATCTATTGTCATCTGAGTCTGTCTGATTTTATCAATTAATATGTAGATTATATAGAAAATAAAGCTATAACAATGGGTACTAGTTTATTTTACAGGCTTTAGGGGTAACTACAGGTGTGTGTGTGTATGCGTGTGTGTCTGTGTTGTGTCTGTGTATGCGTGTGTGTGTTGTGTGTGTATGTGTGTGTGTGTGTGTGTGTAGTCTACAGTACGTCAATAAATTCTTACGTATAATTAAAACTTCACATCGAGATGGAGGAACACATCCAAACACACACACACAAAACTCTTCAACCACCACCACCACAACAAACACCCGAATCAAAGCACCTTTACACCACTACCATTACCTACCACCGTCATGACTACCATCACTACCACTACCTTCCACAATCATGGCTACCACCATTACCACTACCACCACAACCCACTACCACCACAACCCACTACCATCATTACCACCACCACTACACTATCTACCACCGTCATTACCACCACTACATACTACCACTATCACCATCATTACACCTTCTATCTTATATAGTCTCTCTCTCTCTCTCTCTCTCTCTCTCTCGCTCTCGCTCTCGCTCTTTCTCCAATGCTTCGTCAACACCATTATGGTAATGCGCCTCCGTCGTGCATCCACGGTAGCATAATACAGTCACCAGAGGGAAGCATAGAGCCAGGGAGAAAAACCCCGTGTGAGAAAACAAGGTTGGGAATGTGGGGGTGAAAAACACACAAATTTTAGTAGAAACCGAAAGGAAAAACCAGTATAGACAAGTGGGAAAAGAAACCCTGGAAATGTGACGTGGGAAGTAAATTTTTAATAGAAAACGGGTAATACAAGGACTCGTTCAATATACACTGCAGTAGGTAGAAACAATTGGCTATTTCTGTGGGTTATGACCTAAGATGAAGAAAGCACAGGTTGAGTGGCATTGATTTTAGTTGGTGGTGTTGGTCGTGGAGGTGAGGTTTGTAGCAGTGTGGTGGAGGTGGAAATGGTGGTGGGAGTGTGGAAGTGGTGGTGGTGACGGTGGTATGATGTGTTGGTGATGTCGGTGGTAGGACGATGCTTTAACCGCTTGAAGATGATCGACTTGAAGGCAGTACTCAACCATCGACCTCAAAAAGTTACCCCTCACGATAACGTAACAGAATCAGATAATATTTACCTTAAGATCAAACTTGTATTTTATTCACACGAAATAAATTAGAAGGAAAAAACAGACTATAACAGGATTGTTTTGCGGAAAGGTGTGGAGGAGGACTGGTGGGGAGGGTGGCGAGGAAGGTGTAGCCGAGGTGCAGACAAAGGTTTTCCGGCCATAAACCGGAGAAGGAGACTTTACCACCTCGCAGGCTGGCCACAGTCCAGGAGTCAACCCATTTAAACTTTGCTCTCGGCCTCCCGGTGATGACGCCAACGCAGATGTGAAGATAATCTGCCCACCTGATGGCCAAACTCCGCCAACCACAATTTTCATCAAACTTTGGCATTGGGTTGAGTCGCAGTTGTCATACGGGTCACTTTTTTTTTTAAACTTAGTTCTATAAATACGCTTTTGCCTTTCGTTTACTTTACTGACTTTTAAAGGGATTGTTCTGGTATTTATATTAGTCATTTTCAAAACTGCAAATGTGCTAAAAAAAAAGTGAATATTTTAATTAAATGTTGGATAAAAGTATTTGTCACTTTGTGGAGATTGATAAATGCTCTCTAGTGTGAGTCAGGCAATATGACAAAGTTTGCGGGTCTTCAGCGGGTGATGGTTCAACAGAGATACTACGTGATAAAGGAACTCTACTGTTATAACGATGAAATTCTCTGGGAATGACTCGACAAAACCAGGAAAACATTATTTTATAAGCCTGATCCACAGGCTTTAATTTTAATCCAGATTAACGTTTGTAAAAACATGTAAAAAAAAAATAACGTAACTTTTATATTGATAGAAAATGTGTATGAAAACATGCACTTGTTTTGCTCAACTGATAGGTGGGGTAACTGGTCAAGTACACCCAGTCCTAATGGGGCCCAGACCTAATGGGGCCCAGTCCTAACGGGACCCACTCCTATTCGGGTCCAATGCTATTGAGGGTCCAGTCCTAATGACCCCCAGTTCTAATGGCGTTAACCCTAATGATTAGGTTAGGTTGGGGGTCTAATACAACTAGGGGCCCTTTTGATCAGTAACCGTGTGGATGAGAGAGAGAACTGGCTGGCCGCGTCACGTTCCCTCGCTCACCCATTACCCACGATAACTTATCTTCCTCAATCACAGGAATCGCCCTTGTATACCTGAACCCCGAACGAGATATGAGATTATAAAATGGTCATGAAATATTCTTATATTTTTTACTCATTTGTTATTTATGCGTACTGACAGATCATGATGGTGGAAACAGATTCTCTCTATGGATGAGGATTATTTTTATAAGTAGACAGTATCTCGTATCACTTGGACAACAGTTAAGTATCTGTCTTAAAAATTAACACTGGGTAAATATATTTCATCTCCATTTACTAATAACTGTAAACTTTAGAAATTATTTGCTTGTGATCGTTGTTTGATATTCAATTTTTTTACCAAACCTAATTTAAGGTTATTTTGGCTCTATTAAATATTTAGCAACGTATTAAATGAAATCGAGCAATTTTATCATATATAACAATCAAAACAAAACTCACCCAGCATGAAAGAGCCTTCCTCTTCAGGCCCTACAACTCCTAAAACAGGAATGAGACTTCACAAATTTTGCTTTAGTGAACGCCTGCCTTTACCTCACTATAGTTAACCAAGACGGTGCAGCCGACCACAGAGAAGTCGTTTATCCGTCAAAAACAGGGAATTCGAATCTCAGTACCACTTTGTCCCAATAGGTCTGGAAACACGTGGTCCTCAGGGCGAAAGTGAATCGAGAGTAAAGAGCTTCCTGTTCCAGCATCTTAGCCTTGCAGTCCAGCGGGGAACTACTGCTATTATTACCTACAATCTCGGGGGTCACTCTGCTTCCTTGGACTCGCCTTGGAAGGGAACCACAATCTCTAATTCGTCTATAATATTATTATTTTTTTTATATATATATACCAACTAATTTTTATTATCTTATAACAATAAAACGTAAAGTTACCAGTTATCTGTAAAAACCGGCAGATGACTTTTAAATCTTTACCAGTCGATTATCATTGTCTGTCTGTCTGTCTGTCTGTAACTTTTAGTTGTACTCTTAAAAATATAATATAACCGATCTTCATATTTTCTATTTGGCTTCGGTCTCCTAAACATACTACAGTAATCGCTCTCTCTCTCTCTCCCCCCTCTTTCTCTCATAAGGCCACGAACCCCGTAATGGCGGCTCTTTCATAATACTGACGGATCTGTAAGTGATAATATGTCGACTTCTGGCTAAGTGGTAGAGAAGGAAGGTAGGCAGACTAGGGGTAGTGCCTTATCACTCAATATCACACACGAGGGATGATGACGTGGAATAGATGGGGATAGGGGATAAATTAAAATGTATAAAGGAAAGAGTAGAAGGAATAAAGAAAAGGGCAGAGGGATTAGGGGAAAGTAGGAGGAAAGGGTACGGGAAGTAGGGGAATATGTTCGTAGGAATAGGGGAAATTAACAGTTAACAAATTTATTGGCAAAGCTTGGAGTATAGTTTGCCTATTCTGAGTAATTCAATCAGGTCTTGACACTGAGGATGGTATGACTGTTCACTGCCACGCAGGACAGAGGTTCATATACAGGAGAAGTCATATTCTATTTGAGGACTAATCAGTGTTGGCGAGCAAATTTTGGATAAACAGCAAGAATGTCCTCAAGCATATAGGGGAAAGGGTATGGGGAATAGGGAAAAGAGTAGGAGGAATAGGGAAAAGGGTAAGGAGAATACGGGAAAGGGTAGTGGAATAGAGAAGAGATAAAGACATAAATGAAAAAGGAAATTTTGAAATAGGAACAAAAGACAAATAAAATAACATCTCAAATAAGTAATTTTTAAGAGAGAGAGAGAGAGCGAGAGAGAGAGAGAGAGAGAGAGAGAGAGAGAGAGAGAGAGAGAGAGAGAGAGGATAAAATATGAGAGGATAAAATAAGTGAATAACGAGAGGAAGCAAGTTAGAGAAATGGATTGGAAGAAGTCACAAAAGCAAGATTATGACCACGTGAAGGAACTGTGCAAGAAGAGGTGATGTTTTTGATAGGAAAGTCGTGATAAAAATGGGAAATGGAGGAAAAGGCAAAGAAAAAAGGAAAAAAAACAGTATCACTGGTAGGAAATTAGATAAAAGTAGGAAGTGTAAGACAATGTAAAAAAATATGAAAAAATTATTGATTAGAATATAGTAAAAACAAGAACGATAAATAAAGGTAGGAAGTGGAGGAGATTGGAAGTATGAATTGAAAGTGATATTAATAAAGTAGATGGAGAGAAGAGAAAATATGAAATCACAATCTCTCTCTCTCTCTCTCTCTCACACACACACGCAGACACACTGACACACACACAGACACAACAATTGTCATTTTTACTCGGTTAATTTTCTTAAGTTATAATGTGTCTGTTTCTCTTTCTTAATCCTTCTTGATATACATCTGTCTCATATATTCTATATATATATATATATATATATATATATATATATATATATATATATATATATATATATATATATATATATATATATATATATATATATATATATATATATATATATATATATATATATATTTGCTTCCCCTCAATATATTTCATACTGTCTATATATTTTGTTTTTCCGCTTCAATATATTTCCGCTCTTCTATATATTCCCCCTCCCGATATATTTCGTTTATTTTATTTTTGTAGGGTGATTTTCTCGGGTTTCTGGACTAATCGCCAGTTGCCCCTGTGTGTATGTAGTGATTGTATTTGAATGTGCGTGCGTGCGTGCGTGCATGCGCACTTGTGGGTTGACTACATATATACACGTTTACTAGGGTTAATACAACAATAATAATTATTTTTTCTTAAAAAATGCAGTCAAAGGTT